CTGGCATGCTGCCTTACGTGTTTTCTCTTTACTCCCAATCGGCCTTTGAGACAAGAATTCATTCCTCACCATGTAAAGAAATGGAGGCACTTGGCCACTGAGCACTGAAGGGCAAGGGCAGCTGACTGCCAGGAATATTGGTACCAACTAACTTTGGAGAATCAGATCTGTTAGTAGTGCCACTGAGAGAGATTTCCTTGCAGCTATTCAGGCCTAGGACCAGAGAAAGCTGCAGCCATCAAGCTGGGATTTCCCAGACCACAGAGACAGGGAAATTGGATCCCAGTAGCAGCCAGAGCAGCCAAGCAGGAAGAGGTGTAGTCTAGACTGGTTAGTGAGCCAGGAATCCTCACTGCTTAGTGGCGTTTATATTCATCAACCCTGAGAAAGGGGTCTCTTCCTCAATCCTTCCATGACCTGTGGAAGCAGAGAGAACAAAACTGTTACCCCAGCTGCCCCAAAGATATGGGACAGTGTTTAGGGAAAAGTTTTAGAGGAGATTGAGCAAAGCACTCACAAGTGCTTTGCTTGACACTTTAGGATTTGGGGGGAGGTGTTAAGGATGAAGGAGGGGTTTTAATTTTTTGTTTTTTTATAAATTCAGAGACATTTTTAAAATTAAAATAATTTAAAAATTAATTTTATTTTACTATGTTTAACGATCCTTGTTGCCCCAGAAAAGTTCATTGCCTGAACTTGAGAATTAGTGAGGGACAGAGTTAGTTTTAAAAAAAATAATAAATTCAGGATTAATTGTAAAAATTAACAAGGAAGTGTCTTTTGTGAAATGTGTCAAAAGTTGTGAGCAAGACTGAGACAAAGGATGGGCTAGCACGCCACCTGGTGAGCAAAATGATGAATTACTCTCTCCTTCTACTTAATGGTAAAGGAACACCTTACCTTTCTGAAGAAAGTGGGATAGTAGAGGGGTGTGGAATGCATTCATTATTGTCGCACCCCAAGTGTCACCTAGGATAGCCACCAAAAGTGCACAAAGCCTGCACCAATTTCATACTATCACCCAGCTTATATTGATGCCTTCTGTTTCATTTCCATAATGTCCTTACCCTCCCTGGTAATAACTTAGTTTTTTAGGTACAGCAAAAACAAAATAGCATATTGACAGTGTCTAACAACACATGTCTCATTCCTTACTTCTCCAATGAAAGAAGGAAGGAATATTTTCTCTCTCTTCTTTGGGACCAAGCTTAGCCATTATAATTATATGGTTTTCCATTTTGCTTTATTTTTCTTTCCATTTCCCCTGTTAAAATCATTGTGCATAGTTTTCTTGGTTCTGCTTATTTCACTTTATATGTTAGCCTGTTTCCTGAGTTTTTCTAAATTCTTCATCTTTGTAATTTCTTATGCTTCAGTAACACTTCATTCCATTTATTTATGTACCACAGTCTGTCCATTTTCTAGTCGATGGGCACTCATTTCGTTTCCAGTTATTTGCTACCACAGAGTGCCATATGGAATATTTTGGCATATGATGGGACTTCTTTTTGTCTTTGACTTGTTTGGGTTATATGCCTAGCAGTGAGATACTGGGTCAAAGGGCATGGATATTTTAGTCATATTTTTTAGCATAATTACAAATTGTTTTGCAAAGTTGTTGAAACACCAACAGTTTGATCAGAGTTCATAAGTCTTTCAAAGTCATTTTTCTTCAGTGTTATTATTGTATAAATTGTTCTCCTGGTTCTGTCCACTTCACTTTGCATCACTTCATACAAGTTTTCCCAGATCTTTTCTCTAAACATCCTTTTCATCTTTTACCACAAATTGTTCAACTTTTCCTTAACTGATGGGTAAACCCTTTGTTTCTAAGTCTTTGCAATAACGAAAAAAGATGCTATAAATATTTTTGTAAGTATGAGTCCTTTTCCCCATCCTTTGATCTCTTTGGAGGTAAAGGCCTGGTAATGATTTCATTAGATCAACGGGTATGTATACACAGTTTAGCAACTTTGGGGCATGGTTCCAAATTGCTTTCCAGAATGGCTGGGCCTATCTATACCTCCAACAACAATGTATATCTGTGGTTTGTCAACCTTTCCAGCAATTGTCATTTTCCTTTTTTTTCTATCTCTTACAATCTGTTGAGTGTGAAGGAGAAATTTTGAGCTACTTTAATTAGCGTTTTTCTAATTATTAATAACTTGAAGGGTTTTTCATATGGTTGTTGATAGCTTGGATTTCTTCCTTTGAAAACTTCCTGTTCATATCCTTTGACCAATTACATATTAGGGAGCAGTTGTTGTTCTTAGGCATTTTAATCAGTTTTTATGGATCTTGGAAATGAAATATTTATCAGATAAACTTGCAGCAAAGATTTTTTTTTCCTCCAGGTAATTGTTTCCTTACTAATTTTAACTGCATTTATTTTATTTATTCAAAATATTTTTATTTTATGTAGTTGAAATTGCCTATTTTGTCTTCTCTGATCTTCTCTATTCCTTGTTTGTTAATTAAATTATCCCCTATCCATATTGTGAAAGGTATTTTCTTCCTTGCTCTTCTAATTAGTGCATGACATGACCTTTATATCTCAGTCATGTATTTATTTCGAGCTTTTCTTAGTATATAATTTCTATATTTGATTTCTCCTGTGATAGAATATAAGCGAGAAACCCTTGAGGGCAGGATCTGTTTCATTTCAGATTTTGTACTCTCTACTTTGTCTAGCACAGAGCATAGCACTGAGAAGGTACTTAATACAATTTATTGAGTTGGGCATTGCAGGAAACTTGAAGGAACTAGGTGGGAGAGGAGTCTATCTCAGAGTACAGACACTTTGTTAGGGACAGGCAAGCTAATAGGTAGTGAAGTGTAATCTACTTGAAAGATACATGAAGGAAACTAATATGAGATAAGGCTAGATTTAGATTAGAAACAAGATTTCTCAAAGCATTGAGTGGCAAGACAGTGGCATTAACAGAATGGCCACCAGGGGCAGCAAGATATTTCTTTCCTGGGCGCCCTTGGCAGTCTCTGGGGTGTGTTGGAGGCCTTTGTATTTCCTGGCATTAGAGGATGACTGACCATCAGAAGACCCAAAGATTACTGGAAAGGAATCTAAATACTATCAGGAGTCAGTCATTGTAAGGGGAACCTAAGGATTCTCCCTCTACATTCACCCTACAGAGTACAAAGAAAAAAGCTATTTTTTTCTCTAAGATAAAATAGTTGTCCCCATGACTACTTCTCCTATGGGACATAGGGGACCAGGATCTCTGAAACCTAGCATTTGAGGTACCTGGGTTCTATAGATGTTTGTTCTATACAGTGAAAAGGAAAAGGGTAGCTACTTCTGCCCCTTTACCCACAGCTGGAGGAAAACATCCAGAGAGTAAACCAAGGGAATGGATGAGGGAATTCCCCTACCGCCAGTAACTACAGGAATCTGGAACTGGTTTATTAGGTCAGAGAGCAGCATAACTTCCAGCCTTGGGCCTCAGCCCCAGTGAAGCCTCTATGTCTCCCTCCCTCTTCCATGCCTCTCCTCTTTAAAACTTGGAACCCAGCCTAAGAACCATTCACAGAGATCTGCCTTTTTCCTGAATAGATGAGAGGATGATACGGTCAATGCTTCCCTAAATGTGTCCAGCAAGCAATACACACTGGGTCGTCCTAATAGTGGCTTTCTCATCCCACCCCCACCCCCAGTCCCTCACCTTATAAAGAGAGCAACTGGATGAAAGGACGAGGATGATGTGCGACAGATGGGTTGGTGACAAAACATGCTTTAGCTTTTTGCTTCTTCTACCCCCCCATCCCCAAACCAAATCTGGACTGCCCTTGTAGATATCAGATATCTGCTGAATCCCCAATTTCCCTCCCCTCCACCATCATAAAACATTTAGTCTGGAAGAGGCCCTTCAGCCCAAGACTGGAAATCAGAAAGACGTCCAAATGAGGGGAAAATTTGGCCCAGGGTAGAATTTCAAGATAGAATGTTTCCTACTTCCTGCCTCCTCTTGAAATAAGCAAGGAGTGTGCAAAGCCCTAAGAATTCTCTACCAGCTCTTTCCTCTCTGAGCTTCATTCAGCCCTGACTGATGGCCCCTCTGGGCAAAGGACCAAAATGGGGTGGAGGAAAGTAAGGTGAATAATGAATAGAGGCAGCCTTAGAAGAATTAGAAGTGACTACAGAAGAAACCTTGAACTAGAGTCCCCAGCCCCCCTTAACCACAGTCCCCTATCCCAACAACCCTTTAGCCCTCCCTTCTCCCCTGATCCACACCCACGCACCTCGTCATTCTCGGACACAGGAACCTCATTGTCCAAGCTGTGCTGCCAGAGGCCTGAGCATGGTGGGCGAGAGAGAAGGGGGATGGGGGAGCTGGAATTGTCCGGACAGTGGCTGTCGAGTCCCCTAATTTCCCTCTGTCCATCACCACGAGATGTTCAGTTGATGAGAAGAGAAGGAGGCGCTTAGCCCAAGTTTGGACATTAGAAATCGAGGTCCAAATGAGGGAAGAACATGGCCCAGGGTAGAGTTTCGAGATAGGCGGTCTCCAGCCCTGAGCCTGACCGGAGAAGAGGGAACGGGAAAGATTCACCCCAAGTCCCAGAAAGATTCATTGGAGGGTCAGATCCTAGACAGATCCCGACGGAAGAACACCAGTCAGCAGGCAAAGAGGGGATTCCCTGGGAGAGTCTGGCTGTCCGATGGGTCAAGGTCCTGAGTAAATTAATTGGGGTCTGGGATGGATGAGGATCTAGGGTACGTGAGTGGATGTTCTGGTTGGATGGGCGGGGTGAGGGTGGAGTGTCCCAAGGAGTTGTACTCTCCCGTTAGACTAAGTCGCGGAGAAGGGAGTCTGGGGAGCTGGGGGGAGGTGGGGGTGTGCGCTTAGGGGCGGGGCGGCCGTCTCGGTCCCCCTTGGTGGAGCCCCGCAGCCTGGGAGCCAGAGCCCGGGCTTAGCTTCTGCTATTGCCGCCGGGGCTGGAGCTGTCCCCCAGCCAGACGAAGTGAGAGCCGCCCGAGGGAGGGAAGCCGTGCGCCCCAGCCCCGCCTGGACGCAGCCGCGGACTGGGGCCCTGGCGCCCCTGAGCCATGGTGAGTCCTACACCTCAGCCTAAACCCTCTCCCTCTCCCAGCTCTTTGCCTCTGGCCCCCACCCCCTCCTCTGGGCCTCTGGATCCCCAGCCCCAGCCCCGCCGCCTCCTCTGATTGCCCTTGATCTCGCTTCTACTTTGACTCTAGTTTCCCATCTCGGAAAAGAACAGTCTTTCCTTCCCTCTCCTTTCTGTCTCTCTCTGTCTCTGGGTCTGGAGTTGCCTGGCTCTCCCTGTTGGTTCCTTTCCCTCCATTCAGCCCCCTCACTGCTCTTATTCTTTATCCCTTTATCTGGACTTTGCCACCCCACCCCCATCCTCCTTTCTTCAGTGCTCAAATTTGTGCTTTCCGTATCCCTTGCCTTCTCTTTCTTTCCTTTCTTACTCTGTTCTCCTTGCCTCTGACTTACCCTACTTGTACAGCGCCCCTTCCCTTCCCTTCCCTTCCCAATTACCTCGCTTATCCCACCCAGGGACCCTGGGAGCAGGTCCTGGCAATGGCCGTGGAAGGGGTCGGCCAGGCCATGAGAACGGACCTGCCTGCAATCACCATTTTCCATCTCAGTCCCCGGTCCTGTGAGGGGAGGCCCACCCATCCGGTCCCAAGAGGACCAGTCACAGCTGTAACTGGGGCAGGGGCATGGAAGAGTAAACAGAGTAGAAGAGATGCAGAGGAACTAAGGCTGCAGGGAGTACTAACCCAGGTGGCACACCTGCGAGAGGAAAGAAGCATCATCTGGGGAAGCTCACACAGCCCTTTGTTCCACTCCTCTAATTGCTCTTACATTTAAGATTGTATATTATAGTTCTCTGTCCTTAGGTCAATTCTCTCTCCAAAACTGAAAGCTCCAAGAGGAGAGATTACATTTGATTTAAACTTTGTATTTATCCTAATAGGTTGTATGGGGCTGTGCACACTGTAGGGGATTGATATGTTTGGTGAGTTGAATGGCATAGGGAGAAAGGGACGCTGCCAGGGGAGCTCCTACCGCAGTGGCAAGGGTGACACTGCCTTGAGGGAAACTCACTCCCAGAGTTCACACTGCAAGGGAGATGAAGGCATTTGGAGAAGTGAGGCAGGTAAACACTACAGGGGAGAAGAGGTGCTCAACGGTCACTGCCCCTTGGAGAACTCACTGCAGGGATACTTTCAGAAGAAGACCTCACTACTGAGAGAAAGAGGGCACTGCCAGGGGGAGCTCCTACCGCAGGAATGGGGGAGGGGCACTGCCAGAAGGAGAACTTCAGGGAAGAAGGGGGATACTGCCATTGGGGAAGCTCCCACTCCACAGAGGAAGGGCATAAACTGTCCGGGAGGGAAGAGGGAAGCCATGCCCAGGGTTATTGACTCAGTCACTTTAGTCTCCTCTCTTGTCCCAGCCCTGTCGCTTCCCTCCCAAACCCTCCCAAACTCCCCACTCCCAGTCCCCTCTCTTCAAACTGCTCCTCCCCCCCCCCCCCGCTGCTGCTTCCCGTGGCTGGGGCCCCCCCCCCCCCCCCCGCCCCCCCCCCCCCCCGGGGGGCCCCCCCCCCCCCCCCGGGGGGCCCCCCCCCCCCCCCCCCCCCCCGCCCCTCCTGGCCTCTGAGCCTATGGCCCGCTTGGCCCCACCCCCACCCCATTCTCAACTACCACCATCCCTTCTCCTACACACAACTATTCATTCTGCTAGACACTGGGGTCTAGTTCTTCCACATGCTTGCAGGCCCAGGTCTGTCTAGGTGCGTCTCTTTGTCAGGTCTAGGTATTCTTCCTCTATTCCTAAGCCATCTGTCAGTATGTAAATGCCAAAAATCTGTGGCACCTCTTTCCTCTGGACTAGGGTTATTTGGGGGTTGGAGGAGCATTTCAATCACACTGAAAACTCTTGCTCCATTACACACACACACACACACACACACACATATACACACACACACTTTTTTTAAACATTAAATCAGGTTCCTTAGAACTTCAAGGAAGGAAAAGATGGGCATAGTGCATATAGGAAGGGGCTTGATGATAGAGGTCAGAGAAGAGCTACTAAGGGTGCCTGGAATCAGAGTTGTCCATGGTGTCACAGGTGTGTGGGGAAGATTGAGGGGCAGAGGTCAAGAAGGGGGGATGGTTCAGGGAAGGGCTATGGCTAGGAAGAGAAAGGGACTCAGCCAGCTGATGCTAAAAGGTCATCAGGCTCAACTCATGAGCATCCTATACACATTCATACAAGGTAAAGCCCTTTTCTGATTTCCTTTCCCTCATACCCCTTTTGCGACCTCTTTCCTCCTACAAAATGACCCCCAAATGTTCATTTTAACCTGATTTCACCTACTTAAAATGTGTTTCATTTGTTTTTGGCTAGGCAATGGGGCTGACTTGCCCAAGGTCACACAGCTGGTAAGCATCAAGTGTTTGAGGCCAGATTTGAACTTAGGTCCTCCTGATTCCAGGGCTAGTGTTCTATCTACTGCGCCACCTAGCTGCCCCAATGTGTTTCATTTGTGGAGGAGGTGGGGGACTGGTACAAAGCATAATTTGTCCTGGTTTACATCCCTTCACTGATAGGTACTGAAGGTCTTACTTAAGCAATTTCTGCCACATCATTCTCTCCCCTGACCAGCCACTGCCTAGCCTCTTAGAGCTATTGATCTGATTTCCTTGTAATCTAGCAAAAAGTCTGACCGGACAAATCTGCTCCTTCAATCTGAAGAGCCAACAGAGAGGCCTGTGGATAGATCATCCACCTACCCCAGGCATCTTTACCCCTTCCCCCAATTCTACCTAGTGTCCTCTGATCTCTAGACCGGTCCCCCTGCCATCTCCTCTGATTTCCCCTTTCTTCTTCCAGGAACCAGAGCCAGTAGAAGATTGTGTGCAGAGCACCCTGGCTGCACTGTATCCACCTTTTGAAGCAACTGCACCCACACTGCTGGGCCAGGTATTCCAGGTGGTAGAGCGTACCTACCGAGAAGACGCGCTGCGCTATGCCCTGGATTTCTTGGTGCCCGCTAAACACCTTCTTGCCCGGGTCCAACAGGAGGCCTGTGTGAGTTACTAGCCTGCCTGCATGCATGCATGCCTACTCACTGGGCCCTAAACTGACTGCCTCATTGCCTCACCCCAGGGACCAGCCCCTACAGAATGAACTCCCAGACACCCCCCAGAAAAACTGACCTCCCCTTCAGAGACATCGACCCCTTCAGAGACTGACTCCCTAAAGAGAGCAACTAGCTGTCTTTCTTCATCTATATAATAAGGAGGTTGGACTATGTGATCTCAGAGTTTCCCTCCAAGGCTAACATTCTGTGATTGTTATACTAACCATCTCTGTGAACCCTCACTACTAATCTTGCCCCCGTGCATAAACTAACTACTTAACATGACTTTCTTGAATACTGAACAGTACTCACCCTGACTACCCTGCCATAGTGAATTCCCTGTCTAAGGCTCAGCGTACATTTTGTGATAATGGCCAACCAAGTGATATGGACTGCCCTTCTCCTGACTGTCCTTACCCTGTCTGTCCCTGTTCTCATGCACTCTGCCTCCACAGCCTGCTAACCAGGTTTGGGGTTCCTTGACCTCCAGCTCCCCCCTCTCTCTCCAGGCCCAGTACAGCGGCTTCCTCTTTCTTCATGAGGGCTGGCCACTCTGTCTGCATGAGCAGGTAGTAGTACAGCTGGCTGCACTACCCTGGCAGCTGCTTCGCCCTGGAGACTTCTACCTACAAGTAGTGCCCTCAGTGGCCCGAGCCCCTCACCTGGCACTCAAGTGCCTAGCCCCAGGGGGTGGACGGGTGCAGGAACTTCCAGTATCCACAGAAGCCTGTGCCTACCTTTTCACTCCTGAGTGGCTGCAGGGTATCAACAAAGACCGTCCAGCAGGGCGCCTCACCACATGCCTCCTGGCATCACCCACAGGTGTCCAGCGGTTGCCTTGGGCTGAACTCATCTGCCCACGCTTTGTGCACAAAGGCAGTCTCATGGTAGGACAGCGCCCAGTTTCTCTGCCCCCAGAGCTTCCCCCAGGAGCCCCTGGGCTCTCTAGCCCCCCATTGCCTGAGGAGGCCCTGGGCACTCGAAGCCCTGGGGATGGGCACAATGCCCCAGCAGAAGCCCCTGAGGGCGAATATGTGGAGCTGTTAGAAGTGACCCTACCAGCCCAAGGGTGTCCTGGGGAAGCAGCAAGCTCCCCTGGCCTCTCCAGGACTCAAACCGTACCTGCCAGAAAAAGTGCAGGAGGGAAGGGACGACACAGAAGACACCGGGCATGGCTGCACCAGAAGGGAACGGTGCTCCGGGGTCAAGATGGGGCTCGGCCCCCTGGAGAAGGGAGCAGCACTGGAATTAATACTGGCTCTCCCCCACGAGCCGAATCCCCTCAGGAAGAAAGAACACTTGATACTCCTGAGCTCCCAGCTGAGACACTGGGAGGCGAGGCTGGTTCTTTCCCTCTAAGACCAAATGAGGGTGGGGACGGGCCAGGCCAGGGGGATGAGGGACTGGCTGGGACACCTCGGAAATTAGGCAAAGGAAACAGAAGGAAAAAGCGTGGGGGAGGCAGAGGAGCCGCTGGGCAGGGAGCAGAAAGTGTACCATCAAGCCCCAGGAGCAAAGAAGAGACTGGTTGTCCCGAGGCCCTCACTAGTCTGGCCCCCCCAAATAAGAATGAGCCCTCAGGAGTCAACCTGGTACAAGATGAAGAACCTGAATGTACAGGAAAGACTGAGTCAGAGCTGGACCTAGAGCCGGAGCAAGTCAAGGAAAGAGAGCCCATTCCCTCTTCTGCCTATGAGTCCACGGAGGAGGGAACAGGAGAAGTAGAGCCAACAGGGCACAGCAAGGCTGCTGCAGAAGGTAAGAGTACATGGAGGCCAGTGGGGAACAAAGGTGGGAGTGGTCTCAGCAGTAGAAAAAGGAATATGGTAGTGGTCTCAATCTGGGGAGCAGCCTCTAATTCAGACCTCAGTTCAACCATCCTTCCTGTCCTCTTTAGTATCCACAGACCCAGAGGAACTCCCATCTAGCCCCCTAATACCACCGTCTGAAGCTGGAAAGGACAAGGAAGGCAGTAGCCCCGAAGGGTGTGCCCCAACTTTGGTTGACGATGATTCCAATATGACTTGGGATTTGATGGCATCTGGATTTTTCATGCTGACTGGTGAGTGTTTGGAGTGGAGGAATAGGAAAGGATAACAAACAGAAAGTGGGAGGAGGTAAAAGTGAGGGAAAAGGAAGCCATGTTGCTGGGGAGAGCCAAGGGATGTAAAGACTGATCACACCTTCACTGAAAGCAGGCTATCATCCCTGACCCCTTTTCATAGTCACCTCATGTCCATAGGTGGGGTGGACCAGAGTGGCCGGGCCTTGTTGACCATCACTCCACCATGCCCTTCTATTGAGCCTCCACCCACACAAGCAGAGATGAGCACCGTTCTTTGTTACCTTCATTCACTGCTCAGGTAAATGTGGGCCAAGTGCTGACCTCCCTGAGTCCTTAAGATGATGACCTCGTGACTTCTGGGACAATGACATAATCCCAACCCACATCCTCAATCCACTGACTTTTAGTTCAATGACCCTTCTGAATTCTGAGGACTCTGACATTATATATAGGACACTGATTAAATTTTCCATACTTTGGCTCCTTCACCATAGGGACTATGAACACTGACCTCCCCAGAGTCTCAAGAAACTTGACTCCATAATCTTCAAGACACTTTCTCCTAGAGACAAATTTTCCACCTCAGATACTGGTTATTTACATTCTGTCTCCCTAACCTACAAGGAATTGACTTTTTCCCATGGACTAAAATCAGAGCCTCAGACTCCACTGTGCCCTAACCTCGAGATGAGATTTTATTAACCTTCCCTCCCCACACAGGTCTGACCTGAAGATGTTGGGGTTGTCTGTCCTTCTAGACCTCCGGTGTGCTCCCTTTCTTCCCCCAGGACTAATCCCTGTTCTAAATGACCTTCAGGTACCTATTCTAGACCTATAATTCCATTGTGCCCTTCCTATACTCCCTGACTCCCAGGGCTTGATCTGATCCACCTCTCCCCTTAGGATTCCAAAGGACACCCTGTGATACAGCGACTGATGATTTTAACTGAGAATGAGTCCCACATTGAGCTCAGTGATCTTCAGGTATGGTCTATTAAAGCCCTATCTGTGGGTGAAAGAGAAGAGAGATGGCTAAGTCCCACACTGGCTTACTTGGTTGGCTATGAATCTGGCCAGAACTCCACCTGATCCCAGCATTTCCACAGGGTGCTGAGTTGCTATCTGAGAGTGACCTCACAACTGTGGCCAAGCCTGAAGAGCTACAGAAAGACCTAGGAGGTCACAGGGACCTTTCTCCACGGCGCTGGACAGAAACTCATCAGGTGAGGTTGCCTTTTCTCCCTACCTCAGCCAAAGAAAAGCACTATAGTCATGAGCCCATGGCCAGGAAATCCACATTCAGGGCAGCCTGAAGTAGAGGGCCAGATCCAAGCCATGGCCACAAGACTGTAAAAGATGGTGCTGTCAACTCAATTCAACTCAACAGTATTTATTGACCACTTAACTAAGTTATTTCAAGGGAATCTAAAGCTCTGGAAACAATCAAGTATGTTATAGTAGAAGGAGAATTGGAGTTGGAGTCAGACGACCCAGATTCTGGTCCTGGCTCTGACACTACCAAGCTATAGAACCCTAAGCAAGTTACTTGATGTCTCTAAATATCAGTTTCTTCAACCGTAAAATGAGGATATTTGCATGACCTACTTTATGAAGTTGTTATGATGAAAGTGCTTTGTAAACCCTTAACAGCTATGTCAGTGTAAGCTGTTATCATTCAAAAAGATTATAATATTGGGGAGGATACCTAAAAACAATTAAAGAATAACGCAAAATAGTACAAAAAAGTCCTATGTTAAGTAACAAGTTCCAAAAAAGTATGAAGAGAAGGAGGCAGTATGGGAAAGTGAAAGGAGACAGAGTGGTTTCTAATCTAGGCTCTGTCACTACCTAAGTAGGTGACCTCAGATGAGTCATTTCTCCTATCTGGATGCCAGTTTCCTGGTGAGCAGGGGAGGGCAGGGTTAACCTCTGCTGTCTCTAAGATCCCTTCCATGATCGAATATTTCTATATTTCTATGACTCTTAGTGATGCAAATGGTTAAACAATGTACTACACTAACAGTTAAAAAGTGGAGTGTACCCTACAATTATTAGGGAGGACCCCCCTTAGCAGTTGTAGGATTTGATCTGGGCCTTGAAAGATGGGTAGGATTTGAGTAGGTAGAAAGGATGACTATTCTAGGTGAAAGGACTATGTGAGCAAAGCCCTGGACTGAGAAAAGTTGTATTTGAGACCTTGCTCTACCATTAACTAGCTATGTGACCTTGGACAAATTATTTCACCTCTTTGAGCCTCAGTTTCCTCATATATAAAAACAAATCTGGCTAAGACTCTATAAGCTTTCCTTCAGTTCTGATATTCTGATGTTCAGATCCCCCTGTAGGAGTTAGGAGAGGGTATCTCTTGGGATTGGGCTACCCTATGTTAGCATTTGGGTTCTTCATCACAAATGCCTTCTGTCTGCAATGTCTCTGACCCTTCTGTGCTCTGTGTGTGTGTGTGTGTGTGTGTATTTTCCAGGAAGTAGCAAGACTGTCCCAGTTGTGCCATGATGTTCTATACTCTGTACGAGAAGCCATTGAGGAGCTCGAAGGAGCTGCGGAGCTTGAGGGAGAGGTACAGACTGGGTGAAAAGAGGAGAGGAGACAGGCAAGAAATCCCAAGGCAGAAGAATGGATGGGACCCCTTAGCACAGGGGAGAAGGGAAGCTTGTGGGACTGGGGTGAAAAAGAATGGGGGTTGGGCTGGTGTTCTTTCAGGGCTCCTACTCTCTGCAGGTGGAGGTGGGAACTCCAGAGCCCCTGCGGAAGGTGTTAGCAGATCCCCGGCTGGCAGAACTGCAGAGGGATGGAGGAGCCATTCTCATGAGGCTTCGTATAGCCCACAGCAGCAGGTGAGAGAAAAGGCCTAAGCAGGGCAGGGGAGGAGACTAGGGAACCGAGGAAAGGAATGGAATTGATTGAGGATTATGAAAGGTAGGAGATGAATTGGCAGATGGGCTGCCAGAGGTGGCAGTTATATCCCTATGAGGTGGACCCCATGGGATCCTGAATGAATGGGGCTAAGGAAGTATGTATGGGTCAAAGCTAGAGTCTGGCCAAGGAAAGTCTATTCCTCACATTGCCACTTTTACTCTCAGGTTGGAGGGCCCAGGCCCTGCCATTCTGTACCAGGAAGTGGATGAAGCAATTCACCAGCTTGTTCGCCTGTCCAACCTCTACCTACAGCGACAGGAGAATCACCGACGTCAACACAAACTCCTCCAGGTGAGCTAGAGTCCTCATATCTCCAACCACTCCTAGCTTTTGACACTGACATGAAACATTCTGCTAATTGAAGACTTTGCCTTTGGCCCCCAGGACTTTCACTTTTCCTTACTTTCAAAATCTCCTTGATAATTGAAACTCAGCTCAAGGCACTGAGTCTCCTGGGCCTTGAGTGGACTTCGTTTCCTAAGTCCTGAGATCTGCCTCGTCAAAGCTCTAACTACTTGTTCCCCTTTTGCTGATGACCCTTTTTGGAGATTCCTGATTCTATCAATCAATTAACAATGATCATTAAGAACCTATTACGTGCCAGGCACCAGGTTACCTTCTGGGGTTATAAAAACAAAAATGAAACCATCCCTGCCCTCAAGGAGTTTACATTCTATAGGAAGCAACATGTATAAAAATGAATTAGACTAGATGGCAGCTGAAGGGCACTTCCAGTTCTAAATAGATATAAAACATATATGAAATAAAGACAAGGTAAACACAAAGAAATTTCAAAGAGGAGGCACTAATAACCGGGAGAATTGGCAAAGGCCAAATCATATAACAGCTTTGAACAAGTTAGGTTTGCTCAGAGCTGAAAAGGAGGAGGAGGGAGTGCATGAAAGGCATAGGTGATTGCCTATGAAAAGGCAAGTGGACAGGGAATGTGATATTTTATTGTAAGGGTCAGCAAATAGGCCAATTTGATTGGACTACAGAGTGCACAAAGAGGAGTCATGTGTAATAAGTCTGGAAAGGTAGGTTGAGATCACATTGTGAAAGGCTTTAAACGCTGAACAGAAGAGTTTCTAGTTGAACCTAGAGAAGGGGTTCTTAACCTGGGGTCCACTGACCCCCCCCACAAAGGGATCTAATGGATAGATGAGTGTCTGTGAACTTGGATGGGGAAAAAAATTACACTTACAGTTACCCTTTCCACATCGAGGGGGTTAGGGGTATGGCACCCCCCTACCCCGTAATCTGGAAAATCAACATAAAATTTTTTGGCCCTCCCTTCATACCAGAGAAGTCTGAATTTTTTCTTTTTCTTTTATTCAGTGTTTACAGTACCTTATTGTAAAATTTGGGTCGATATTATACAACAGTATACATATATTTTATGCATTTCTGAATTTCTAAACTTTTTCTGTGTGATCTGCTGGCTTTCACATGTCATCTGCAGCTTCCACAAAACTCCCAAAAAATTCCTATTTAATTTCTTATGCCAACCCAAGATATATTGAAACCACTACTGGGGAAAGACATAATGTGGAAGGGATAACTGTATATTTTCACTATCCTTTGAATGAAATTTATTATTTCCTTCAATTATGAATATTGGCAACAAACCATAATAGTGTGGGGCTTCATTAAATTGCTAAAGGGGTCCATGACCAAAAAAAAAGTTTAAGAAACTCCGTGCTAGAGGCAATGGAGACCTTCCTGAGGAATGACATGGTCAGACATGTGCTTTAAGATTATCCTAGTATGCATTTCTCTCTTATTCAATACCCCTAGTCACGACATACTTCAGACAAGAGTAGTTCACTTTTTAGGGTTTATTTCCAAGACAAAAGAGAATGTGTGTATATGTATGTGTGTGTGTATATATTGCATATATGTATGTGTATGTGCATGTGTATATGTGTGTGCATGTGCATATGTGCCTATATATAGATACATATATGTATATAGAAATATATATATTCAAGAATAATACAACAGAGTATAGAATTATACATAAAAGAAATCTATACATTTCCAGACTGGAATATACCTAAATTTTCTATCCTAATTCTTGTCCAAAATTTCCCAGGCCAAGAATGAGCCATGTTCCTCTTTGGTTGGGAGACTCATGACACGGAGCCAGATCCTTCATGATTCTAAATGAGAATGTCACCTTCTATCCCAGAACACCTCCATTCTAACTTTGGGATGTGCCACCTGGACCTCATGGTCCAGCATTTCTCATTAATTTCTGAGTAAAACTGTTTGAACTTGATTAAATGTCAGGTTCTTCATGGGACAGCTACATGGTACAGTGAATTGAGTGGTGGACTGGGAGTCAGGAAGACCTAAATTCAAATCCCACCTCAGATGCTTACTAGATGTGTGACTCTGGGCAAGTTACTTAACCTCAGTCTCCTCATCTATAAAGGGAAGCTAAAAATAGCACCCACCTTCCAGGACTGTCATGAGGATAAAATGAGACAATATTTATAAAGGACTTAGCATAGTGCCTGGTACATAGTAGGTATTATATAAATTTAATTATTTTTATGTTCTGCCCTTACTGCTTTGTAATCATAGGATCCGCGATTTCAAGCTGGAAAAGGCCTTAGAGGTCATTTCAGATGACCTCAAATGAAGAAACTAAGGCCCAGAAAGGTTAAGTCATTTGTCTTAGGTTACACAAGTTGTAATCACTTAACCAGTAAATTTCCCTTCTCTTTACCCAATGTAAGGAGGGAAACAAAACTACCACACACTTTTCTGATCACATCATAAGTCAGAATGATTCAGCCCGGGGTATGCCAAAGCCAGCTCAAATCAGCCTGAGAGAATTGATTGTTAAATTTTCAATGTGAGCATTTACACCTCAGATATCAGTAAATGCTACAAAACAGAGTTTGACTTGTTTTGTTAATTGTTTAGACTTGAGAGAGTAATGGAAAAAATGTTAATAATGCAGATTAAATTTTAAAAGGTGTCCTGCGAATATTTTTTCCCAGAGATCCAGTTGTTAAACATTTACCAGCACACCATTGGAATTATTCTAATACACAAAACATTCTCAAAATTTATAAAAGACAGAAGTAATATAGTATAGTGGAGAGAGCGTCAGACTTGGAGATAGGAAGCCATAGGTTCAAATTCAGCCGCAAACATTTACTAGTTATATAACCCTTGGCTAATCACTTATTCTTTCTGGGCATCAGTTTCTTCTTTTTTAAAACAAGGGAATTGAACTCAATGACCTCTGAGGTACTTTCCATCTTGAAATCTATGTTGTCATTTTCCTTATAAGCAAACCTGAGGCATCTCTCCTGGAGTTCCCATGGTGTTCCCCTCCCACACCCTACCCAAATTGTCTCTCAACTGCTCCCCAAGGCTAGCCTCTTGTTTCTGTAGTCCAGAATCCTCCCCTTCCATAGGGAGAAAGCTTCTTCCCCTCTGATACTGGCAAACTTTCTTCCACCTTGACTTGCCTTCCAATCCCAAGGGGCTATTTCAAAAACTCTGTCCTCCCCCTCTCTCTATGCTTCCTGGCATCCAGCTTTCTTTGATGAACCAAGTCCTCCCTGATATGGGATGGGAACATCAGTCCCACCACTCTCTCCTTCCACCTAGGCTGAATCTAAGACCTTGTAAGATCCTGATGCTAATAATGCTATTATCAGCTCATATTTATATAGTTCTTTCTGATTTGCAAAACGCCTTTCTCACAACTCTGTAAGGTAGGTAGTGCATTTTTTATTATCCACATATTCAAGAAATAGACACGTGGAGATTAGATAATTTGTTCACAGTTCCACAGCTAGAAGAAACGACGAGCCAGGAATCCAATATGTCTTATGACTCAAATCTAGTTCCAATGAATTTTCCACTCTACCAAACTGTCTCCTGTGGTCTGAGAGTCAGATATCCTAGTAGATTCTGGTAGATCTGAGAGAGCCTACGGACTCAGTGGAAGCCCTGCTGATGCCTGAAAACTTCCCAGTTACTGCCTTCTTCTACCCAATGTCAACTCTAAACCTAGGAGCCATAAAAAATTGTAATACCTCAAACTCCAACGGAAGAAGTCACGAAGATCCTAGAGGGCAAAGGGTCTTGAAAAATATTAATCTTCTTTTTAAGAGAACTCCTCAGAAATGTTTTCCTCCTTCCTTGATCATTAACCTTCTGGGGCCAAGAGCCCTGCAGAGGACTCTAGCTGTACTACTAAAGGGAGGTACAATGAGCTTGGAACCTTGGCCTTGGTTTCCATTCCATAGTCCCGGGCTCAGTGACTGAACAGCCACCTAGACCTATCATGGAAGTAACTCTTTCCATGCAGATAAGGTCAGGATGCTGAGGAACTTTTAATGGCTGATACCAAGAAAGTGACCCTGGGCTCCCTATGTGCCAAAGTTGAAATCTAAGCACCACTGGTGCTTAGACTTGGTGACATTGAGCAAGTCACCTCCCATTTCCTTATTTGAAAATAAGAATAATAATCCTTGTACTAATTACTTCCCAGAGTTGTCTGCATCAGATGAGATAATTTATGAAAGGCATTTTGTAACCATGAAGTATTATATGAATGTCAGATAAAATAATGATAATAACAATAATAATACTATATTTATATAGCACTTTAATGTTTATAACCCTCTGAATGCCAAAGTCAGGATGGAGGTTTTCTGGGATAGAAGGTAACATTCTCACTTAGAATCATGAAGGATCTGGCTGCCATGTTATAAGTCTCCCAACCAAAGAGAAACATGGCTCATTCTTGGCCTAGGAAATTTTGGACAAGAATTAGGATGGAAAACTTAGGTGTATCCCAGTCTGGGAATGTATAGATTTCTTTTATGTATAATTCTATACCCTGTTGTATTATTCTTGAATACATGTATTTCTCTTTAATGCAACAACCCTGTGAGATAAGAAACCTGTTTTACAGATGAGATTAAGTACCTTACCCAGGGTCTCATAGTTATTAAGTGATAGAGCAGGATCTTAAATCTTAGTTCTCTGTCTCCAAGTCCAAACCTTATTCCATTACACTGTGCTGGTAATATTCTAATTTTTATTATTATTAGGGTATCTGTTTATTGTCCTCCTTACACAGAGTCCATGTAAACTAGGATCCAGAGAGTTATACTTCCAAACTAGTCAGCACCCTCCTCAAAAAGAGCCTGACATAAGTGTACCTACACACATACACACACACACACACACACGCATGCGCACACACACAAACTATTCTTTTCTTCTCTAGGCTAAAAAAGCACAAACAAAACCAAAAAATTCCATTAGTCTTTCTTTATAAGATAGGGTTATAGTACCTTTCATTGGGGCAGCTAGGTAATGCAATGGATTGAGTACTGGGTTGGGAGTCAGGAAGACCTGAGTTCAGGTCTGGCTTTAGACCCCTGGTAGCTGTGTGACCCTAGGCAAGTCATTTAACCTATTTGCCTCAGTTTCCTTATCCACCAAATGAGGATAATAATAGCACCTACCTCCAAGGGTTGTTTTGAGGATTAAATAAGATAACAATTATAAAACACTTTGCTCAGTGCTTCACATATAATAAGCACTATATGCATGTAAGCTATTATTTACCTTTTTGGTCAACCTCAGCCTCTCTGTATTTTTAGAATAACAATACTCAAACCACACATGCACACATGTGCATGCTCTAACCACAGTGCTACCTCCCACCCTTACTTCACCTCCCCTCATGCTCTCTTCAGTTACTGGAGAGTCAGCCAATTCAAGTCAAGCCCTCAACACCACCTTTTACATTGCTTTCTCCTGGATGAGGGTTCTCTAAAGAGCTTCCTTCTGGTTTCCTTTTATCCCCCTCCACCCCAACAACCCTTAGCTCGGCCTGCCTCCAGGACCTATCAGGCTTCCCTTCTCACTCTCCCCTTGTCTCTCCTTGATCAATGCCAAGTTCTTCTCAGCCCCAGTTATATATCCTGCCTACCCCAGGTCTTCTTAATAACCCAGGGATTTTGTATAACACATTTCAAAATGTTTCCATGTCCATTAGCTCATCTGATTTACAACCCTTTAATTATGATTATTATTATCCCCATTTTGCAGATGAGGAAACTGAGCCTTAGAGAGATATCCAAGATCTCCCGGCCAGCTAGTAGCAGAGCTAGAATCAGTCAGAACCTACCCCTCCTTACTTCTGGCTTCAGTGATCTTACCATGATGCAATGATGTTTCTTTGACTGGTGCCTCCTCTCTCCAATCTGTTTGCCTCCAGGTGTTGCAGTGGCTTTCTGGCCCAGGAGAAGAGCAGTTGATGAACTTTTCTGAGCTTGGAGACTCCCTGCCTGCCCTGCAGGAGATGGAGATGCGTTTCCAAGCCTTCAGTACTGAAGCCCAGGTAAGACAAGGGGGACCAGTTGAGGAGCCTATAAATAAGGGACAGCAGAGGAGAAGGGAAGATCTGGTGGCAGAGGCAAGAGGAAAAGCTCTTGAAAGGCCAGGGCAGAGACTGTGTACCACCCAACCTTCTGCAGGAGCAGCTAGCCCAGGCTCGGGAGGCCCTGACCCTGGAGGAGGACCCCACCACGCAGCAGTCCCTGGATGACTTTGAGCAGCGACTGGAGCAAGTAGAGAGCAGCCTCCATCGGGCCCTCCGGCTACACCGTTTCTTTCAGCAGGTACCCTTGCTCCTTCCCCTTCTTTTTCTTCCTTTCTCCTCTCCCCTCTCCTCTTCCTTCTCTTTCTATATCCCTTTCTGGAGGAAAGCAAGCTGGATTGGGGGTTCAGGAAATCTAGGTTCATATTAAGTGTCTGCGAGGTGCCAGGCTATACTCTGCTAAGCAATGGTAAATATACAACAGTTCCTGCCCCTAGGGAGCTTATATTCTATCAAGTGAAAACAATGTCATGTACACAGATAAGTCAATACAAAATATACACAAAGGAAATACAAAGTTAATTTCAGGAGGGGGCTTCAGAAGGGAACTAATAACTGAGTTATCACAAAAGGACCCTTACAGGAGGTGGCACTTGAGCTGAGTCTTGAAAAGAACCAGAGAATCCAAGAACCCAATATAAGGAGGATATGCATTATAGGCTAGAAGACAGTTTATACAAAGTCACAGAAACAAGAAATGGAATGTCACTCAAAAATGAAAAATAGGCCAACTTGACTGGAATGTAGGGTCAGTCAGTTAGCAAGAATTTATTAAGCACCTACTATGTGCCAGGCACTATGAATTGGAGAGGGGAAAGACCAGAAACTAGACCAATTAGAAGGTTATTACAATAGTTAAGAAAAGAAGTAACAAGAGCCAGAACTAGGGTAGTGATCATGTGAGAGGAGAGAGGAAGACAGGGAGAAATGTTTTGGAAATATAATCAAGACAACTTGATGATTGATTAGGTATGGGGGGTGAGATTGAGTGAAGAATCTAGCATGATTCCAATGTTATGAGCCTGGATGACTGGAGGGAGAGTGGTGTTCTCAGAAGAAAAGAGGGAAGTTTGGAAAATGGGTAGCTTTGAGCAGAAAGATAATATGTTCCATTTTGAGCACATCGAGTTTAAAATATCTATGGGACATCCACTCAGAGATGTTCAGTAGGCATTTCATAATGCTGAAGCCCAGCAGAGAGATGAGGTCTAGATATATAGATATGGGAATCATTTGCACAGAGATTGTAATTGAAGTTATGAGAGCTGATGAAGTCACTGAGAGAGTATGTAGAGAAAGAAAAGAAGGTCCAGGACAAAATATTGGGATACACCCACATTTGGAGATGTGATAATCCAGAAAAGAAGCCTGAGGTATGGTCAGACTGGTAGAAGGAGAATGAAAAGAGAGCAGTTTCATCCCAATTCAAGGAAGATAAAACAATCAGGAAGAAATGATAGTCAACCATACCAACAATGTCAAGAAGAATGACACCTAACCACATCGCACCTATCAGATTGGCTAACATGACAAAACAGGAAAATGATAAATGTTGGAGAACATGTGCATTGTTAGTGGAGTTGTGAAATGATCCAACCATTTTGGAGAGCAATTTGGAACTATGCCCAAAGGACTACAGAACTGTGCACACCCTTTGGCCCAGCAATACCACTTCTAGGGGTATATCCCAAAGAGATCATAAAAAGGGGAACGGACCCACATGTACAAAAATATTTACAGCAACCCTTTTTGTGGTGGCCAAAAATTGGAAATTGAGGGGATGCCTTTGGGGAACGGCTGAACAAGTTGTGGTATATGAATGTAATGATGAGCAAGCCAACTTCAGAAAAACCTGGTAAGACTTATATGAAATGATGCTGAGTGAAGTGAGCAGAACCAGGAGAACATTGTACACAATCACAGCAATGACAACCTTTGATAGACTTAGATCTTTCAGCAATGCAAGGATTTAAGACAACTCCAAAACATTCATGATGGAAAATGCTATGTACATTCGGAGATAGAACTACGGAGTCTGAATGCAGATCGAGGCCTACTATTTGCTCTCTTTTTTTGTTTTGTTTTGTTTTGTTTCTTCTTTCTCGTGGTTCTTCGCAGTGGTTCTAATTCTTCTTCATAATATGGCTAATGTGAAAATATGTTTAATATGAGTGTATGTGTAAAGCCTGTATCAGATTGCACGCTGTCTTGGGGAGGGGAGGGAAGGGAAGGGGAGAAAATTCAAAACTCAAATTCTTCTGGAAGTGAATGTTGAAAACTAAAAATTCATTAATTAACTAAAAAAAGAAGAATGACACCTAAGAAAAGATCTTTGGGATTTAGTAATTAAAAGATCTTTATCTACCTTGAAAAAAGTAGTTTCAGTTGAGTAATGAGGTCACAAGGCAGACTGAAAGAGTCTAAGAGGGGCTAGTTAGAGCACAGGCCCTCAAGTCAGGAATATCTGAATTCAAATCCAGCCTCAGACACTTACTAGCTGTGTGACCCTTGGCAAGTCACTTAACTTTGATTGCCTTTAAATAAATTTAAAAAAAAAAAAGGCTGAGAAATGAGTAAGAGGGAAAGTGAGTTTGGCTATTAAGGAAAGCTGTAGGATGGTAACTTGAGAAGATAGTGGAGTCCAATTTAAGCAAGGAGAAGACCTGGGTCTGTTTATAGGCAGAGAAGGATCCGGTAGATAAGGAGCAATTGAAGAATAGAGAGAGGACATTTCCTGCCTCTGACACTTATAAGCCCTCTGACTGTGGAGGAGTCATTTCACTGCTGAGTGTCACCTCTTTTGAGGAGAGAGAGAGATAATAATTCTTGCATCCCTACCTTATAGAATTGGCTGGATCAAACAGGAGAATTTTAACTCCTACTTTTATGGAGTTTTAAGGTTTGCAAAGTGCTTTTCTCAAAGCCACTCTATGTGGCCATTAGTATTCCCCCCCCCTTTTTTTTTCAGACAAGGGACACAAAGAAAGTAAGAGACTTTCCACTGATCAGTCAGATAGTAAGTGGCAGAACAGGGATTTGAACTCAGGTCTCCTAATGCCAAGACCAATACTCTTCCCACTATCCCCTACTGTGTCTCAGAGATAATGTATCCAAATCAAACAATGTATATAATACATTTTGTAAACCCCAAAATTTTGTATAGGTGTAAACTATTAATTACTTTTCTTTATATCTCTGGGGGCCCTTTGCCTAGAGACGAGAAAGAAGAGCACTGGTACTGGGACTCTGAGGTAGAGTGTTTCCAGGGGATGCTTTACCTTGGGCCACACTCTTGCGGGAGCCCTGGAGTAAAGGTGGAGGGGCATTAAGCAGAGAAGAAATAAGTTGTTGTAAGCCTAACCTCTCATCCCCTTTTCTCTGTCTTTCATTGGTTCCTCCTCTCCCATTCTGTTCCGTCGTCCTTACAGGCACACGAGTGGGTGGATGAAGGAACGGCAAAGTTAGCAGGAGCAGCACCAGGTCAGGAGGCTGTACTAGCAGCGCTGGCCCCAGTGCCTAGTGCAGGCACCTTCCAAGAAATGCGGGCTCTGGCCCTGGAACTGGGCAGCCCAGCAGCGCTCCAAGAGTGGGGCCGCTGTCACACCCGATGCCTGGAGCTAGAAAGAAGGGTTCAGGAGTTTCTTGGGGATGAAACAAGTCCACAAGGCCGGTGCCGGCGTCGGGCAGACAGTGCCAGCAGTGGAAGAGTCAAACAGGACCCGCTCAGCCCTTCTCGAAGTCTCAGCGTGTTACTGCTCTCCAATAGCCCTGGACCCCGACCAGCACCTTCCCACTGCTCCCTAGCGCCCTGCGGAGAAGACAGTGAGGAAGAAACACAAGAACTTGCTCCTGAGGCCCAGGGGAAGCCACGGCCTGGGACCACACGAGCTGTACTGATCCGTGGCCTAGAGGTCAGCAGCACTGAGGTGGTAGACAGGACCTGCAGCCCCAGGGAACATGTACTGCTAGGCCGAGCTGGAGTCCCTGAAGGGCCCTGGGGGGTTGGCACCCCTCGGATGGAGCGCAAGAGAAGCATCAGGTGAGTGCTGAAATCACCTTTAGATATTAATGAACCCAACCCTATTCATCAATACTCTTCCCCTCCCCTTCCAGCTCCAGTGAAGTTAGTACATACCAGGCTAGGGAGAGGAGAAGAGAGGGAGGGGTTTCCTATCACACCCACTCAGGGCCCCTGCTCTTCCCATGCTCTGGAGTGACATCCCCTGCCCCCGTCCTGTGTTTACAGCGCCCAGCAGCGGTTGGTGTCAGAGTTGATCTCCTGTGAGCAAGAGTATGTAGCAGTATTGGGTGAACCACTGCCACCACCGGGGCCCGAACTGACAGCAGAGCTTCGGGTAGACTGGGCTACAGTCCTGGCTGCTCGGGAGCGACTCCGAAACTTCCATCGGGTGCATTTCCTTCGGGAGCTGCAAGGCTGTGCTACACACCCTCTCCGAGTGGGGGCTTGTTTCCTGAGGCATGTAAGTAACCAACCAGGGCCTTTCCTTTCCCTGAGCCCCTTTCCCTACTGGCCTGCTGCTACAAGCCTCATTTCCCCTAAATTTATTTTCTCCCAAGTCCTATACTTGGAAGAAACCATTTTGCACATTTTTACATCCCATCCTCTAAAGCTTTGCATCCCCAAGTGCCTCTAAAGATACCTCTCACATCTCCCTCAAGCTATTTCTTCATCCTTTTCTGGAGTGCTATGTAAATAACATCTCCAGTGAGACATTGTATTTGTATTTTGTGGGGAGTCTCTCCATAAAGTTGGTCCTTTTCTTTTGACCAAGTGTCTCCTGATCTTCCCCACTCTCCTTTGGGGGCAGTGAAAAGTAAAGAGCATCTCACTCTGCATCACCCAGTTCTTCAAGGGCTACTGTTAACAGCCTTCCTCCTGATGCAGGGAGGCCAGTTTAATCATTGCCCACTTTCTTCCTGACATAGGGGGACCAGTTCAATCTGTATGCTCAGTATTTGAAACACCGGCACAAACTGGAAGCTGGCCTGGCTGCACTCAACCCCCCTAACAAAGTAAGAGGACCCCTTTTGGATACATGACAGAGAATGGGATAGAGAGATGCAGAACACACCACTTCCACACCCTATCCCTATGTCCCAGGGGTGGAAGCTAGGGAATAGAGTCTTTCTAGTGGCATATAGATGTGTAGGGTGTCTGTAACTTGTCTGAGTCACACGGCGTAGTGGAAAGGGCTCTGGAAGTGGATACCCAGCAGCATGTCCAATGCCTGGAATTCAAGTAAGGGCTAGAGAGTTTCTGGGGGATGAAACAAGTCCACAAGGCCAATGCTGGCATTGGGCAGACAGAAGTATGGATATCTGTGTTCTAGCCCCAGGTCTTCTACTGAATAATTAGTTGGTTATGTGAACATAAATAAACTACTTCTCTTATTCTGTTTCCTCATCTCAGTGAATATGGAGAATTCCTATACTGCCTATCTCATAAGGCTATAGCCAGGATCAAATAAGATCACAGACATGGAGTCACCTTTAAAAAATACAAATGCTATAGAAATATAGTAGGTGATCATCATAATTAATTCCATTCCTCATCCTTTTCTCCTCAGATTAGGGAGGGCAAAATAATCTTCTAAATATCCTCTCTCCCTAACTCTTCTCCAGGATATTACACGGAGAAGCCCAGTACCTGGGCAGGAGGGGGAGTCCTCTGGTTCCATCTACATATGTTGTTCTTGGGTGGCACCCCTCAGTTCTCCAGAGTATAACTGCCACACACTCATTGAATGAATGCCTCAAACCCTCACCATGAACCCCTTTTGTCTCCTCCCCCACCCAAGGGTTCCACAGAAGGCCTCTACTCGCCCCGCTTCCTACAGCAACCCCTGGAACAGTTAGCTCGATACGGGAAACTCTTGGAGGAGTTGCTGAAAGAGACAGGGACTGAGCTGAGTTCTGAACGCCAGGCTCTGGCAGCTGCCCTGCAGCTGCTAAGGGACCAAGAGGACAGAGGCCGGGATCTGCTGGCTGTGGAGGCTGTACGTGGCTGTGAGGTAAGAGCAACCAACGCCATCCACTTGGCACCGCCACCTCCAAAAGAGATTTTGGGTTCGAGTCTCACTCCTGCTGTTTGGCCTTAGCCAAGTCACCTCCTCAATTCTCAGTTTATTCAGCTGCAAGATGAATTAGACTTAAATCATTTCTAAGACCTCTTCCAGCTCAAAATCCTATGACCCTATGACTCCTTTCCTGTCCCTTCTACTTGACTTTCCAATTCCATGCTTTTTCCCCATCTACCTTACTAGCTTTAAGTCAATCCCAAATGCCCATTCAATTTTCCTCTTCCTTTTTGTCTTTTCTCCACCCTGAGATCCAGTTCCACCACAGTTTCAGCCCTGCCCTCTCCTTTGGGGAACAGCTCCTTCTAATTCTTTGCTACCTTTTTTTACATGAATAGCCACATAGAGTGCTAGAGTTCTCAGCCCTGAACCCAAGTTTGGGGATTCTAAGCCAGAAGCTTCACTGCTTCCTAGGCTCTGCCTGAAGGACTCGACACAATGCCCCCCCCCAAAAAAGTATCTCTGAGCTTCCATCCTGCTGCTGTGTCCTGCTTCCTCCTGCGAGGCCAATCAACCTTCATCTCCAGGTAGAGAAAAAGGAAAAAGGAAGAGGCAAATAGACTGGGCATTCAGGATGGAACTAAGCAAGGTAGGACCAGTAAGGCAGATGGAAAAAAGGCACTGAATTGAAAAATCAAGTAGAAGGAATAGGAAAGGAGTCATGAGGTCATAAAATTTTGAGCTAGAACCAAGGACAGGCCAGCCTTTCCTCTTTGTCTTTCAACAGGTGGATCTGAAAGAACAAGGGCAGTTACTACACCGAGATCCTTTCACTGTCTTCTGTGGGAGGAGGAAATGCCTACGTCATGTCTTCCTCTTTGAACATCTCCTCCTCTTCAGCAAACTCAAGAGCCCAGAGGGTGGGCCTGAGGTTTTTGTTTACAAGCAGGCCTTTAAGGTACAACCCCATGGGGGCATCCTTCCTTCCTTGGATATTAAGAGTCCTCTGGAACCTCACCCTAGTCCAGAGACTTGGATAATCTAGAAACAGGCCTTAGCCTGGAGTCAACCAATGGATCAAGATCTCAAGTTCTCATCATGAACCAAGCTCAGGAGGTTTCCTTTTCTCTAGTGCAGTAGCCACAACCGGACAATCCAAGGATAAAATGGGAATGGTAGTATGTGATCTACAACTTTGGGATCAAACTCAAATAAAAAGATATCTCTGCAAGCCATATATTGACTTAGAAAACCACAAATTAACATTATCTATGTTGTATTATATTTTTATTTATTTTCTTAAACATTTCCCAATTACATTTTAACCTGGTTTGGCTGCACTCGTGAGTTTTGCCAGTGGTGAGTTTGACACCTCTGATCTAGAATACACAGGCATTGCAAATAATACTTCTGGATCAGAATGAATAACCAAAGAGAATGACCCAAAAGACTTGCCCATTTGAAGATACCTTGGTACCAGGTGCCACCAGGATTCCTATTTTCCACAGCCAATAGTTTTGCTCCAAGACCTGCATCAGTAGATCTAGAATCATTTTCTATGACTCCAGTATTTATTCTTAGGCTATATTCTGGATCTTGGGGATCTAATTGGGATGAGATGCACCACCTGCTCATTTATTCACTCTCCACCCTTCTCCCTTTTTTATCCCCCCAGACTGCTGACATGGGGCTGACAGAGAACATTGGGGACAGCGGGCTCTGCTTTGAGCTGTGGTTCCGAAGACGGCGTTCCCGGGAAGCATACACACTTCAGGCCACCTCATCTGAGATTAAACACAAGTGGACAAGCTCCATTGCCCAGTTGCTTTGGAGACAGGCAGCTCACAACAAGGGTACAGGAAGAGAACTTGGGAGTTTGAGCAGACTGAAGGAGGGGTGGTGATGGAGAAGGAGCAAAAGGAGGGGTGGACAACAAGCTAGCATTCCTGCAGAAGCAGAGGTAAGAAGGAACAGGGGGAAGTGACAGTGTTTCTGTTTCCCCAGAGCTTCGAGTGCAACAAATGGTATCCATGGGCATTGGAAACAAACCCTTTTTGGACATCAAGGCCCTTGGGGAGAGGACCCTGAGTGCCCTGCTCACAGGGAGAGGTGAGGGTTATGGTGTGGAAAGTTTTCCTCTCCCCTCTTCCCCAAGAAGTGCTCAGAACCTTAAAGATGAGGGCACAATTCGAGAATAGGGGTTGGTGGGTAAGTAGAGATAAAGAGGAGTGGTAAACTCTTTCTAGGAATTGTGGGACTAGGGGACATTCCATGGGACCAAGGAACATTATGGGGAGGTAGAAGAGCTTTCCCATGACAACATCTGCCCCTCCCTCCCACACACCCCACTTTCTACAGCTGCCCGAACCCGGGCCTCCGTGGCTGTCTCTTCTTTTGAGCATGTCGGCCCCTCCCTACCCTGTCTCTCCCCGGGAGCCTGCTCCCTGCCCGCCCGCGTCGAGGAGGAGGCCTGGGACCTGGACATCAAGCAGATCTCCCTGGGTGAGGCACCATGAGTGGCAGTGTCCCTGCACCCTGGTGATGCCCCTAACTGGATGTTCCTAACAGCTAGTTCACCATGGCAATGCTTAGGGTTACCTGTAACTCAGAAATTTTTCTGCCTTAGCCAAGCAGCCTTGTTGCCATGATTTTGTACACTTTTCCAATACTGAAGCACCTTCTACCCCATTGCTAGGATAATGCTTACAGCAGACTGTTTTAAAGGAGCATTTCCTTTATGCCCCTCTCTCTAGCTCTCCCTTGGTCGCTATGGAAACTGCCTCAGCTTCCTGTTGTGTCCTCCCGGTTCACCATGGCAATACTTACAGCTTCCTGTTGCTTCTTCCCTGGTTGTTCTAATGATGCTGCTGACAATTTCCTGCCTCTTACTGGGGGGGGTTCCCCTGCAACTGGGTTGCTATGGTGACTCACAGCTTCCTGTTGCTAGGGAGTTTTTCCTGCTCCTGCAGCCTGGTTGCTTAAGGTAATCTGGAGGGGTTCTATACACTGCTCTTATCCCAGCTTCCCCTCCAGCACCTGAATCACCTGACTCTTCTGGAGAAGTGTCCCCAGGAGCAAGGAGCAGCCCCAGCCTACAGCCCCCCAACCTTGGGAGCAGCACCCCTATCCTGCCTAGTGGAGGGATCTTGGGGTATGCCCGTCCGGTAAGTTCCTATAATGGGGCTAGGTCTGGGGACGATCTCTGACTATTTTATATGTGACTTCTCTCATTCATACAGTTCATTAATCAGGAATGTTGTCCTTCCAATTTAAACCAGGGATCAAAATATCCCTAGGGTAGGGGAGAACATTTAATAAGCACATTAGGGTGGAAGAAAAGAGGGGACGACAGATAGGCTAAGGCTTAAACTAAACTGAAAAAAATCCAGAAATACTAGGGAGACAGCTTTGGTGTAGTATACACAATAAGTTCCAGACGTCTAGTTAGAAGAACCATGTTGAAGTCCAGACTAGCTCTCAGGAGTGATTTGGACTGCCATTTACTAGCTGTGTAACCTTAGGCAACATTTAATCCTCCCTGAGCCTCAGTTTCTTCATTTATAAAATGGGGGATGGTAACATCTAGCTACTTCACAGAGATATTGTGAGGATCAATTGAGATCATATATAGGAAGGGTTCTATAGTTATAAAGAACTATCTTAAATGTCAGCTAATATTATTGTACAGGGTTGATGGGGGAACAAGTAAAAAGAGGTAGTTATTATCTTTCCAGCTCACTGTAGTTTCTCTTTCCTCAGAGCCATACTCGAGCCCCAAGTGATCCTACCACCCCTCTGTGACCCTGGAGTTCTGAGGTGAGTCACACACAGTATCCTCTTTCTCACCCCACATTTCCTTCCACTTAGATGTTCCCCCAGCTCCCAGGAATCAATGTCAATTCTTCCTCTACTCAACTCCTTTCACTCTTCTCTCTTACAGAGTAGGTCCAGAACTCAACAGGAACACCACCTCTGAAACACATGATGGGTTGGGGTAGAGGAGTAATATAGGCATGAAAGAATGTCATGCTTCTTCCTTTCATTTTATTTTCTGGGAAAGAGGGGTCGAGGGACCAGTGCATTATTATACTGCCTCCCCATCCCCTGCTCTTCCTAGCTTGGTGCCTTTGCCTGCAGGACCTAAGGTGACCACGTCTGCTCACCACTGAAACCCTGCAATAGGAGAAATTCTCCCTCTTCCCTTCCTTCCCCAATCCTAACCCATCATTCCCTAGGAAACACATCACTGCACATGCCCAGTACTCCTCTACCCACAATTTTCATTTCTCTTCCACCCCTGACTCCTCCCTAAAGGAACTCATCTCTGCGGGCAAATTGGAGTATTCTGGGAACTGGACCATCACAGATAGAACTATGCAAACTGTTGTGGGAGGGAGGGATTGGGAAACGTGAAGATGTCTTCTATGTAATTACTGTTATTATAATTACTATTGCCACATTAAATGTATTTACTGGAGTTATCTCCTGGAAACAGGAAGCCTTCTTAGTCTCTTGGAGTGATTGAGACAACACTTTAATTTGGACACTTCCCCAGAACTAGTCTCATGGCCAGAATACATAAAAAACTGAATTTTAAGTAAAAAGGACTTTTATGTGACCTTGGACTTCATTCTTCTAATCTGGAAAATTAAGGGCTCTAACTATAAGACCTCTACAGTCTAAATCTATGACCAAAGCTTTGTTCCTATCACTAACTGCATGTCTCAATGAGGCCAGCTAAATTTAGGGAGGCTCATCACAAGAAGATGGGCTACTGGGTAATGATTTTTTTGGGGAGGAGAGGGTCACTGCAATTCATGAAGTACCTACTTACTAAAGCATGAAAATGATTACAATCTCCTTGTGAAGGTACTACCCACAATGAAAAAATCACAACTCTTGAATTATTTAAGTAGGCCAGGTGCCATCCACATTCCATCACAAATCAAAAGCTGTTGGTGCAAGAAACCTGATTCTGCAGGTGCCTTCCATTCTGCCTCCCCTCCGAAACTTATTATAGACTGGCAGTGAGGCTACCAACGGTGAGGTGCTACCTCTTATGTCTCCTTCTACCCACCCACCTCTGTTGGGAGTCCTGGCTGCTTCCAGGGAGCTCTGGGTCCAATGGACAGCGTCTGAGGAAACTGACTGCCTTATGGAGTTGACTGACAAAGAACAGTAGGACATAGGCCGACAGAAGGACACAGTGCCCAGTGCCTTAAGACACCTGTTTATTGGGGTAAACCGGATCTGTGGGGATCGTACCAAAAATAGCGACGTCTACAGGACCCCTGCTAGGGACAGGAGGAGGGTGGGACGGTCCCCCTCGTACAAAAATAAACTCTCACGGCTATGGACCAGCAAGGACTGGTGGGGTAGCTCCCTCTACCGGGCCCCCTTTCCCGCCCTAGGACTCTGCTCTCTGCCCCCACCTCCGCCACTCTAAGGCACTGTGACTCTCCCCAGGACAGGGTGGACACCACCCTCCAACCCACACATCCCAGGCTGACTTCTCCCGGCTCTGCCCAGATCTGCCCGAGGACTGGATGTGGGTTCCGAGCTGCCCCCTGCTGGCTGCCCTACCCAACTACCTCTAGTGATTTCCCGCTCCCTCAAGGCGAGCGCTCTCTCTATGCTACCTGCCCCTAAATGGGCTCCCTACCGTTCCTGCCCTCCCACCCCAGCCCCTGCCGCCTCTCCCGGTTGGGACAACCCTGGGCTCCCATCCCCATCCTGCGGAGGGCTGGGGGTCAACTCCCCTGACAGAACGCAAGCGGAGGAGGGAGGGGAGGGAGCGGCCTGGGGTGGCCTGCGACCCCGAGCCCGACGGCTGTGATGCACTTGCAAATGCAAAGCCATGAGCTCGGGAGCTCCAGTGGCAAAAGGGCAGAAGAGGCAGCGGTGCAGGGAGCCCCCGGCCCCGGCCTCACCTCCGGTCCCCGCCCGCAGGGACAGGTCCAGAGGCTCGGCTTCACCACCTCGCCCATTGCGCAGGGTCCTCCCAGGGCTCACAGGTTTACGACGGGAAGGGGCAGTGGCGCTGGAAGGGAGGCGGGAGCCTATGGCGCCCTCCGCCCAAGTTGGGGGCGCAGGATTGGGTTTGGCCCCTTGGGATGGAGCTGAGCCCCGTTGAGGTGGGGGCGGAGGCTCTGGGGGCGGCCCCGGTCCTGCTCCGCTCCTTTGCTCTCGATGGTGACGCTGCAGGTGATATTTGAGGGAGCCAGACTGGGTACCAGCGTAATCACAGTGGGGACACTTGTAGGGGCGCTCACCTGCAGAGAGCAGACAACTCAGTTGGGGAGAAGGGCAGTGCCCACTGGAGTCCCTTACCCCTTCCCTAACTCCCTTCCTCTTTCATAGATTTGCAGGCCAGAAAATGTGCAGGGTGACCCCCCTCCTCTGAGTTCTATGGCTTAAAAATTCAGGACTGCCCCCAAACCAGTGACCCCACCCATTCACAGGTCCTCCTATGACCTGTGAACCCCTCATAAAATGTCTGCCACACACATCACCAGTTCTGGGCAAGAGAGGCCCCTCATTCTCCCAAACCCACGTGCTTCTCCTCTTCTTCTCAAAAACCTACATCATTTCCAACCCCTTGCAGCCCTCTGAGATACCTTCCCCCCATCTCACCTGTATGCACCCGCAGATGCACTTTGAGGTGGTGTGCAGAACGGAAGGATTTCCCACAGAAGGGGCAGTCCTTGCCCGAGGCTCCTCGGCCCCCTTCAGGCCGAGTTCCCCCTACTAACAGCCCGTTCTCTTCTGCAACACATGTTAAAGAGTTGAGTTAAGAGGCTAAGATCCCAGCTGTGTCCTCTCTACTCTCCCTCCAAACTGCAAACTGGGGCTCTACAAGACCAGAGTGGAAAGGCAGTGAGTAAGGAATGAGGGCAGACAGTGGGGAATCAATGCTGTCCGTGCCGTAGGAAGATAAATGGGCATGTGGGAAATAAAGGAAAGGACAAATGAAGGATGAAGAACCGCAGACACGGAGGTGTTACACAGACTCCTAGTTGCATATACATACCCTGGGAGGCTGCAGGCCGGGGCTGGCCCCCTGCAGGAGGGGCGGGATGACCCGAGCCCTCCCCTGGCCTTCTATGAAGTGAAGCCAGCGCTCCAAGGGCCCTGCTCCGAGTCCAGCTGTCCTCCTCTGCTTCCACCACCACCTCCTCTTCGTCTTCATCTTGCTCCTCCAGGCGGGGACGACGCTCCCGAGCCGGGAGCGGGCGGAACCCCCCGAAGCCCCGGCCAGCCCCGGGCTCAGTGCCCTCCCCGTTGGGCCTGGCTTTCCCAGCTCTCAAGCTCAAGTAGCCCAGAAGGCCCGGGGGCTCGCCTCGATCCCCCTGTGGCGGCGCTGGGGCCAACAGTAGCGCGGGGCCCAGGGGCTCGTAAGCCAGCAAGCCCAGGTCTGGAGGAGGAGGGGCCCGAGGAGGGCCTGAGCCGGGGCCGGGCGCACGCAGGGCCCCCAGCTTGCTGGCGTGCACCTTCATGTGGTTTTTGAGGAACCAGGGCTCCTTGAAGCAGCGGCCGCAGACGGGGCACGCGTGGTCGAAGGAGGCCTTATGCTTGCGCATGTGGCCTTTGAGGAACCAGGACTGAGTGAAACTCTGGCCGCAGACTTGACAACGGAACTCTGGGGGCGCTGGAGGCTCCTCGGGGGCGGTGGCTGGAGCTGGGGCAGGCTCCGGCTCCGGCTCCGGCTCGGGTTCGAGCTCCGGGGCCGACTCGGATTCTGGCTGGGGCAGGGGCAGGGGCAGGGGCAGAGGCAAGGGCAGGGGCTGCGTGCCAGCCGAGGCGGCCGCCAGGGGGCGCTCGGGAGCGCCATGAGCTGTCAGGCTGTGGCGCAGCAGCTCCTCCTCCTGGCTGGACCCGAAGCTGCACAGGTTGCATTTCCAAGGCCGGTGGAGGATGTGCAGGTGGCGTTCACGCTCCGCGGCCGTGCGGAACTTGCCTTTGCAGAAGGGACAACGAAAGGCAGGTAGAGCTGGGACCGGGGCCGGGGCCGGAGCCGGAGGGGGGAGCTCTGTGGAGGGCATAGATTGCAGGAGCACCCCGGGCGCACTGCCCAGCCGGGCCTCCCGCAACAGGGCGCGCTCCTCTAGCTCCAACAGCAAGCGCGCGGCGGGGCTGCGCGGGCGCTCTGGCTGGTGCGTGCGCAAGTGCAAGCGCAGTAAGGCCCTTTGAGCCGTGCGGTGGCCGCAGTGCGGGCACTGGAAGGGCTGGGCGCCCGGGTGGGCCCGCAGATGCAGCGCCAGTATCGAATTGAAGCGAAAGCGCTTCCCGCATACTGGGCACGGGAAGCGCCGCCCGCTCCCTCGGCTCTCGGGCCAGCCAGCTGCTCCCATTCCCGCCGGCCCCCCGCTTACGCCCGGCCCGTTGGAGTAACGCTGCAGGTCCAGCTCGCCGTCGAAGGCTGGCAGGGCAAGGGGGCCGCCCGGGGAGCGAGGACGTGAGCCCTGCCAAGACAGGAGTGGAGGAGTCGGGTCAAGAGAGGATACAAGGAAGAGGGAAGTGGGGAACCGGAAGATAAGAACTATGGGGGCGGGAAAAGGGAGGATCAAGGGACAGCAGAGCCCCAAGGGGGGAAGACGGTGGTAGGAAATTAGAGAAGCAAAGTAACATACCTTCTCCACCCAAACCAACCAACCACCGTCTCCACACACACCCCCAACCCCCAACTCTGCTTCCTGCCTCAGGCAAGCAATGGGGGCAAAGGATGGTGGAGTGCTCTGGGAGGGGGCAACTGTATCACTCACCTCCATGGACTCACTTCACATTCTTTGGTGCCAGGGATTGTAGGGAGGAGGGAAAGCCTCTGGTGGAAGCGTCTGGGGCAAGGGGGCTAGAGAGAGAAAGCCAGATTCCCAATATGAGATCACAGGTTTCCAGGTGGAAGAGATGAACCTTGCTCACCCACAATGATCTCCCACTCCAAAACTCAATATAGATGTCCTTTCTTTTCTCCTGAACTGTGGGGGCAGAGGGGGGAGGAAAGGGGAAAGAAGGGAGGCCGAAGAGATTTTCTTTAATTCCTCAGAAACTGAAACGCTTGATCCCCTAGCCCCATAGTGAGAATTTCCAAACTCATGACTCTTCCCTTGCTGACTTTTGCCAGTTATCCTGGAGTCTATCCCATGTACCAATTCTTCTATTATGGATGGGGAGGGAGTGGATCTCATGATTTCCCCATATCTTCCAAGTTGGGCCAGGCATTTCCCTCTCTCAATCAAGTGAAATTACCTAGCTTCCTGGTTATCCATTCCCTCACTTTAGCCATTGCCTATCATGCTGGCCAAGTCTACCCTTCCTTTTGCCTGAACCCTGTCTTTCTGCCTTTCCCCCTCATTCCCCCTCCCTCTGCCTGGATTCCTGCTCCATTCATTTCCATTCATTACAGAGACTCATTCATGCATGGGAGAGAAACACCTCCCAGCAGCAGTAGCAGCAAGTCTGGAGACAGACAGGGGGGAGGGGCATGAGGGGGGGAAAGACAGAAACAGAGAAGGGATGGGAAAACAGTTGGGGAAGAATGAGAGCAAAGGGCTTCTTTTGGCCTGGGAAAAGGAATCAAAAGTGGAAAATCCTGATTGATAAAAACCGTTCCCTTGCTTTTAGCACCCTGGAGACTGAGACCTGATGGTACTTCACAGCCCCTTTGTCCAGAGCTACTCCAAGCCAGGCTTTCCTTATCTCTGCAGGGGAGAGGTTCCCCCACACAAGAGGAGGATTACACTGGCTCTGAGCTCCACAGCCTGGAGTGTGGGGCAGAGAGGCGGGGCTAGAGCCATCTGCACAGACAAGAGGCTCTGCACAGACAAGAGGCCCAGCACATGGTCTGGAAAGGAAAGGGTTAAAGTTTTCCAGGATAAGACTTCAAGGCCTGGTCATCCTTGCTGGAGTGTTCAGGGAAGCTTTCTGCACAGAAAGGAAAAGTCGGGGGCACTCTAGCCTACAAAGGAGGTCAGCGTTGGGGATCAGAGATTGAATACAGAATCTCCAAACTGATGGGGAACCTAAAGATCACCTAGTCCAACCTCCTTATTTTACACATAGGGAAACTGAGTCTCAGAGGGGTGAAGGGATTTGTCTAAGGTCACAAAATTAATCTTTATAACCCAG